CATCCCCAGCCCCATGTCCCTGCCCCCCTGTTTCTAGGAAAGACGAGAAGCCAGGCACCCCCAAAAAAAAAGGCCAAAAAAAAAAAGGCCAAAAAAAATCTCCACCCGTACTGTATTCCTGCACTCAAGACCATGAAACGCCGAGTTGACGCTTCTGCAACGAGAAGATTTGCTGCACTCATGCACAGGCACAGCACATCAGGAACCACTTCCTTTGGCCCCCTCGATTGATTTCAAGCCCTGGCCGGCCCGACCCTCTGTTGAGAGGGTGAGTGGGCTCGCCGCTTCTCTTTGCGACTTTGGGCAGGGCAACAAGCAGCTCGAAGCTCTCAAATGCTTTCTCTGCAACGCCGCAGCGGTCGCGATACAGTTTCTGTTTCTATTTGCTGGGTCCCTCCCTCAACTTCAAGCAGCTTTCGTTGATATTCGAGGGCGGGGCTTATGAGTGAGTTCCCAAACAAGTTTTTTTGTTTTAGACGGTGGTTCAAGTTGACAACTCAGCATTGCTACATGGCATCCTAGTATCGCCAAGGGCTTTGATTGAAAAGGGACGCGCATAGACGCGCTGTTTTACGTGGAAAGTATTGGGCGACGTGGTTGGTCGCGCAGCCATCATGGCTCGGGTTTGCAGGTCACCGCCCAGACTCCAGGCTTTGCAGTTCTCGCTTGATCGATTTGAGGGTCCCCAGCGTGGCAGAACTGAATGATCCCCTCCTGATGATTAACCTGTACCATGCAAAATTCGACAGCTGAATTCTCCAACAGGGCATGTAGGCAACATAACCATTCGCAACAAGCTGGCCAAACAGATGCAGGAATTTGTGGGCTATTTGGGCGGGATTCACAAAACAAGTCTCTGGACACATGTTTCTCAATCTCTCTGTCTCTCTCGCTCTCTCCCTCCCTCTCTCTCTCTCTCTCTCTCTCTCTCTCTGTCTCTCTCTCTCTCTGTTCATATTTATAATATATATAGAGATATAGCATGAATACTTGTTTGACCGGTACCAGCATTATCATAGTGGCTGCTGACTGTGCTTTGCGTAGTCATAGTCATGCTGTTTGCTGCAAGCATTCTCGGGTTCTGTACTGTTTTCCTGATTTACTGCATCGATAAACTGTATGCATTTATGAAACTAGACTCGCTCGTTCGAGAATCCGCGCCGTGCCATCGCAGCAACATCGAGAGGAGCGATCCCTGCTTGATCTGTCGCAAGGCATGCTTTGCTTCCTCACCGTGCCCTGCTCATTCTCGCAGATGCCCTGTGATTCCCCAATCCCATTGCATGCCCACTACCCATTTTTTGGTTCAGCCTTGCTTAGCTAGAGTCGTTCCTTTGTTGGGATGTCTTGCCTCACGTGTGGAAAGCAGATTGAAGCGCTGGCCGGAGTGCAGTTGTGTTTGCCGCTTCTTTGGCCGGGCGTGTGCGTGCACGTGACATGGGAGTAGCACGCTGTTGGCATGTTTACTGCCACAGCTCGCTGTTCCACCCAGGATTCCGGGCAGGATCCTACAAGTGCACTGTTGCCACCTGGATTGTGAGCAGGGGCGGCTTTGGACTTTAGACTTGACATGGCCTCAGGAGCCGACGATCCTGGCTTCCGCCTTGCAAGCCACCGGTGCTCGGTGGTCGGCGCAGCATGCTGAGGCCCGAAGCAAAGCCATGCCTTACCAGCCGCATACGCCGCATGTGCAACCATGACTTGTGCAGGCAACTGCCTTGAGGCATCGCTTGGAGGTCTTGGCGAGAAATCTAGATTCTGGTGAAGGCAAGTAACGAATGTGTGGTAAGCTTCCCAGGAAATCCTCCGGCCAGGTGAGGAAGTCGACAAAGACTGGGTTCATCGCTTCGTAACCTCGCATCAGCGGCTTGTAGAGCTTGGCTGCAGATTAGAGGCAAGACTTGGGAAATGCCAAGCGGCGATTGCACTTGTGTTGGCATTTTTTCCATCATTCGGCAGTCAAGCACGGCCTGCAGGCGGGCTTTGTGGACATCGACGCAGAGCTTCGGCGACTACAGGTGTCGCAACAGACAGATCTCAGACATGCCCATACCCGCGAGCCAGATTCAGATTTGGATAGGGGCTGGGTTGCCGTGGCTCACTAGCTCCATTCATGGAGGCATTGGCACTAAGAGAAGCAGTATCGGTTGTGAAGTCGTCACGCCAAATTTGGCGCGACGGGAAGCCAGCGAGCCAGGAAGGCCTAATTAGAGGTTACAGCCTCTTCAGTCTAGCCTGTAGCATAGGCACTGTCTGTAGATGCAGGCTGTCCTTGGTCATGCCCGAGTTCTTGGTGCACTCGCAGGGAGTGGGGAGAACGGCCCAGGCGTGCCCGAGCGAGTCGTTTGGAAGTCGAAGTTCATTCATCTTGTGTCTACGTGTGCAGTTAAACGCAGTAAGCCATACCAGGTTCCCGGGCAGCACTGCCAAGTGGCGCGGCAGTCTTTCACTTCGGGCAAACGCCGGAGGCTGTGCAATTCTTTTGGCCGCAAGTCAGCTGCTGCCGCCAGTCTGGATAATCGACGTGTACACAGCCGGCATCTGCATGTTTCTTCGGCCCAGCTGTGTCCAGCACTGGCCTGCAAGTCCATGTCAGAATCTGCTCAGTTCCTGGGAGACTTCCCAGCAATGTGAATAAGAGCTTGCTGTTCGCAGGACGATGCCGATGAGGGGCATGAAGCTCAAGCTGCCAAGGCACCGCCCCAGAAGCGGTGTATCCTGCGTAGAAGCCATAATGCTTCGGGAAGTTCAGGTCAGGGGTGCAGGGGGATGGGTGAACACTCACTCATGGGATGGAATCCCGGCTTCATGCGAACCCGAACGCCAAGCCAGCTGCAAAAGAATCCAACGACGTTTGATCCAAACATGATTCAGCAACTGTACTTACATGTGTAGTTGCTATAGCCCTATACTTGTAGCTTTGTAACACACCTCCTTGACCTTGCTTCATGTCGCCCACACTCATTCAAGAGTTGTTTGCACATGTTCAGGAGACGAATTCGTTTGTCCTTGCAGCCCTGCATAGCTACATCATCCCCGACATGATGCACATCAAGCCGCTGGCAAGTGTCAGCAGTGCAGCCAAATCCAAGCACCAAACAACCTAACCCCGCAGGCTCAGCGATGAGGGAGTCAAGCAACAACGCCAACCGCCGCAACCCGAAGCGCGCCCTTGCACCCAGCGACGTAGGTTCGTCTTTGCCAGGCAGGAGGAAAAATGCAGGCCCTTAAGCTCCGCGTCTTTTCAATTAGTCCTGTCGGTTGGGTGAGGGTTCGGCTTCAACAGTGTGCTCGAACCAACTAACTAAGTAGCACGAGCTTGGTATGTATGTTATGTTCGAATGTGCAGAAACAGCAGATTTTCGAGCAAGCAAGAAGCCATCCACTTTAAGCCGCCTCTCGTGCATGTGGTCTCGCTTTTTCTGCTTCAGTAGGCAGGGCATTGGCCCAGGAGAAACCACGGACATGGTCAGGAGCATCAAGAATCCTGCATCTTGAAGAGAGCGGCGCAGGACCTCGAGGACGACTACGAGGCGGAAGTCAAACACTCACACACAGCCGGAGACAGTCGGGGACGGGAAGCTGCCCTGGAAGCCTGGAAGGCCTTGGAGGGCTTCGCAGAAAGCGCAGAAGCCACCTTAAGAGGCCAGTCGCAGAAAGGATGTGTGATATTGCATGTGCTAACTTTTGTGCACAGTCCGTGCAGAGCAGAGACTCCAAGATATTCCAAGATCTACCGGAACCGCCGGGACCTGCGCAGCCGCGTGCTCTAGCATCGGCCCGTGACCGGATCGAAAATGAAGTCCTTGGAGAAGCCCCGGCCTCAGATCCATCAGAGCCTGAGACTCTTCCCTCACAAGTCGCCGGCACAGGGGATCCCACGGAACGTGTCCGCATGCGTTCGCGTGACGCGGTCCGTGGAATCCTCCTGGCGCTGGTGCTTGTGCTCGGATTGTCATGCTCGACACCTGTGATTCCGTTTCACGTCAGGGCGCAAACATTTTAGCTTGTATCAGATTGTGGTCCACGATTTTACGGGAGAATTGCTTTGCACAGAAGCGTGCCGCAAACCCTCGAAGCGATGGGCCTTCTTGGGGAATCTGCAGGAACAAGTTGTTGGTTCATGCATCGTGATTGATCAACTCATGATCGTACAACGGGAAAGCAGTATATCGATGCAGGTCTTGCTTGCTTCTGGCGCTGCTAGCACCGCAAACTTCAGGGCAAAATCTTTCCGCGGCGGGCACGCCGTGACTCTGCTGCGTTGGCTGGATGTTGTTTCTTTTGCAAGGTATCGGAAGCTGCAACGGTGTTCGAGTGGTTTGGTGTGGGTGGATGGGGGCATTTTGAGAGTGCACCGGCCATGAGTAACAGGTTTCAGTGCCAGAGTATCCTCTGGCCAGCTCGCTGCACAGTCCTGCCGGTGTTCTTAGGCATGCTGTCTTTCGGGATGGGATAGCTATCCGAACACGCTGAGGGTAATACATATATACATATATACATATATATATACACACATATATATATATATAATATATGTGTATATATATATATAATAATATTATATATATATAGATATATATAGATACCTGTAAAACCGTGCGGCTATTA